CCAAGACCACTGCCACTTCACAGGCAAATACAGAGGCGCGGCGCATGTAAAATGTAATTTGGATTATTCATTTAGGTATTTTAAAATCCCTATTTTCTTTCATAATCTAAAAAAATATGACGCTCACTTAATCATAGCAAAAGCAAATGAACTAAACATAGAACTAAACCAAAACAAAAGAATAGATGTAATAGCACAAAACAGCGAAAAGTTCATAACCTTTTCATTTGGCGCTTGTCAGTTTAAAGACAGTTTTGCTTTCTTAACAGCATCATTAGATAAATTAGTTAGACTGAACAAATATGAAGGAAATGAAAAGATTAAAGACTGGGAAACTCGTTTTAGATATACAAGCACTAACCCATACATTAAATCCAAAACTGATTTGAATTTACTAACTGAGAAAGGGGTATATCCCTATGACTACATGAACTCATGGGAGAAATTCGGTGAAATAAAACTACCAGACAAAGAATATTTTTACAGTCAATTATATGAAGAAAACATAGCTGACAAAGACTACGCCAGAGCAAATATTGTGTGGAAACATTTTAACATTCAGAATCTTGGTGACTATCATGATTTGTATTTGATGACTGATGTGTATTTACTAACTGATGTTTTTGAAAATTTTGGGGATATGTGCTTAAACTATTATGGTTTAGACCCAGCATATTATTTAACTTTACCTAACTATTCTTGGAATGCCTTTTTATCATTGACAGGAGTTAGACTACAACAAATACACACAAAAGAAATGTATGAGATGATTGAACATGGATTAAGAGGAGGAATGAGACAGTGCTCCTTCAAGAAAGTAGAAGCAAACAATAAGTACATGAATGAATATTATGACAAATCTAAACCTTCATCGTACATAAGTTATTTGGATGCTAATAATCTTTACGGATTAGCAATGTGTAAGAAAATTCCCTATGATGATTTTAAATGGCATTACGGTAGAATGGATGAAAAGAGAGTAATGAAATATTGTGATGATGATGACATAGGATACATATTGGAAGTTGATTTAGATTATCCAAAAGAACTACATGATTTACATAAAGACTATCCACTAGCACCTGAAATCATGTGTATCAATGAGAATATGCTTTCACATGTCCAAAAGGATATACACAAATACTATTATGGAAAAGAAGCCAGTGATGAAAAGGCAAATAGATTAGTATTAAATGTTATGGGTAAAAAGAAGTATGTTTTACATATATCAGCATTGAAGTTCTATTTACAACATGGATTAAGTCTTAGAAAAGTCCATAGGGCAATAAGTTTTAAACAAGCAAACTTCTTAAAACCATTCATTGAATTCAACACTGAAAAGAGAAAGAATGCCAAAAATGATTTTGAAAAAGATTTGTTTAAGTTAATGAATAACAGCGTATATGGCAAGACCATGGAAAATGTAAGAAAGCATGGTGATTATGAGATAGTTAATACACCTGAACGCTTCCAAAAACTGGTAAATAAACCACTATTCAAGCACAGGTATATCATAAATGAAGACCTTGTAATTGTTGAAAAAGATAAACACACAGTGGAACTAAACAAACCTATCTATATGGGTATGTCTATTTTAGACTATTCTAAAATTCACATGTATTCCTTCTATTACGATGTGTTAAAACCAAAATATGATGATAAAATCAAGTTGGCCTATACTGATACTGATAGTTATGTAATCAAAGTTGAGACTGATGACTTATATGAAGACTTTGAGGAGATAAATGAATACATGGATTTCAGTGATTATCCAGCAGAACATCCAAATCATGATAAATCAAATAAGAAGGTATTAGGGAAATTCAAAGATGAAATGAACGCTAAAATAATTACTCACTTTATAGGATTGAAACCAAAGGCATATTGTTATAAAGTATATGGTGATGAGAAGGAACACAAGAAAAGTAAAGGGGTAGTCAAGCATAAAGTGAGCAATCAGTTAAGTTACAAAACGTATGAAGAGACATTGAATAGAAACTGTAAAGAAGAAGTCAGTTTTAACACTATCAGAAGTAAGAACCATCAAATTTATAGCATTAATCAGACTAAATATGCTTTAAGCAACTACGACAATAAACGCTACTGGTATTCAGATTTTGAAAGCCTCCCGTTTGGACATTATGCCATAAAATATCTACACAACGAAAAGATGATTTAAGATATATGGATGTAAAAAAAAGATGTAAACAGATATGAAACGGACAAATCCATACGATAGTTTATGTTGGTTAAAAGTTAAAATAGTTGCTACATCGGTTCAACAACTGAAAAACTGAGTCAAAGAATGGCAAGGCATAGAAGAGATTATAAATCTTATCTATATACACAATGCAAACCCCCAAAAACACCAGATTCACCCTATGAAATCGTTTGATGAGTTTTGTGTTGAAAATTGTAAAATAATTCTTATTGAAGAATACCCATGCCAAAACAAAAAGCAACTCGAAAAGAGAGAAGGTTAATATATTGAAAATGATAAGAACTATCTTAACAAATGTATTGTTGGTCGGACTTGAATAGAATATTCTGATGCCACAGGAGAGCATCACCTTGAAGAAACGAAAGGACGCCAAATATTCAAATAGAGAATATTGAAAAATACAAAGACAAAACAAACAGCATCATGAGAACAATAAAATACAAGAAAAAAACAAAACCCTGCAAAGATAAGGAGAAATATTATGAGAAGAATTCAAAGCATAGAGCAGAAAACAAAGACGCAATAAGACAACAACAAAGAGAAAGATACAAAAGAGGCAAAGATAAAATAAATGCAAGAAGAAGAGAAAGGCAAAAACAGAACAACGAAGAGCAGTTACTAATCAACCAATAGTAATTCATGCCTATTATACCTTTTACTCATTCCATCTAATTTATAGTATCTATTATTCATCATATCACGACCAACTAGTATTACTTTATACTTTCTTTCACTCCATTGACTTCTAGTTTCTTTCCTTGATACATAGTTGCCCTTTCCTTTATCAAATATCTTAACATAATCTCCTTCACTTATGTTTGGATATTTTCTGTTGTGCTTTTCTTTCAGTATCAGATTTGTTCTGACCTGAATTATGTTATCAAGATTGTGCGCGTTATTTGGTGTTGTTTTGGTGCTGCTGTGGATTTGGTTGTTGTATCTATTCAACGAGGGCTTTAGCACTTCCACCCATGTTTTGGTTTTGTAATGCCTCAATCTGTCCCCAATCATTTTTTTGACGGTGCGTATCATCCTTTCTGCCTGATTTGCATGCGTCTTTGTTATTACGTGTGTTATACCTTCCTCCTTTAAAAATGTTTGCAGCTTCTTGCTGTTCAACGCTCCTTCGTCGTCGCTGTAAACCGACAAAGGCTGACCTAATACCTTAAAACACCCCATGACTGCCTTATAAACGTCATCACCATCTTTATTCTCGATAGGGACTATGTGACATTTTTTACTGAATATATCTATGCAAACTAAACCATATCTTAGTTGACTTTTGATTTCAGAACCTACGTTTCGCAGCAAACTGGTAACATCCATCAAGTCAATCTGAAATTCATACTTCGGGAACCGTGGCTCAAGCATTTTCCAGCGCCAATTTTCAGATATTCTCGTGTGGGTCCCGGGTTGCGCAATACCTCGCGAGGCCATTGAGTGGGAAAACCCCACGTCTTAGGACCTCTGGTGTGCCGGTACCACTTGGTGGCCTCGTCTTGGTGTTGCGCAACCTGCAGCGCAACCTGCAGCGCCCTATGGCCCCATCCCCTGGCCGGCTCCTTCGCAGCCTGTGCCTTCTCCTGCTGGCAGGCGCCAATGCTGCTCTGTGGGGGCAGGCCGAGAAGCCCTCATCGAGCGAACCGGCAAGTCCACCCTCGGCAACGCTGGGAAGGAAGCACCGACGGGCTTTGACCATCTTCCTGAACAGCAGCTGGTGTCCGCCGAGCCGGGCAGGCCTCACCTTCCTGTGGCCTGGGCACCCGCCGTTGCATGGACTGCGCCTCCACAGGCGGCTTCGCCAGTTGCCCACTCGCCGGCCGCACTGGCAGGGCTGGCCACTCCGTGGACGCCGCATTGGGGAAGCGGCCAACCCGGGGCCTGCGGCTCCTGGCACGCCTGCGGGTGGAGAACGCGGGTCGGCCAGGGATCGGGAACGGTCTCCCGTGGGTGGACGCGCGTTTGCCTCGCGGGTATACTGTCCCGTTCCCGGCTGCCCCTGCGCGGATGCGGCACGTGCACCAGGTTGGGCAACTGCCGCCACGATGCGTGCCCACATTGATGCCCATCTTTCTGGCGCCGTCCTTGGTGATGTGCCCGCTCAGTGGCTCCAAGCCCATGGTCGGACCCGCTGCCTGGTGTGTGGCCTCAGCGTGTCGGAGCGGCATGGTGTGCACCCCACTTGCCGTCCACAGGCTCGGGCCGCAGCTCCTGACGGCGCTCAGCCCATGGAGGTCGACAACTTGCAGCTGCCTTCTTTCAACGACATCCAAGCAGCGCGCACACCCACCCTCCGGCATGTGCCGGCTGCCGCAAGACACTCCTGGAGTCAAGTCCTCACCCGGGCCTTGGCCACGGTGGCTCACAGGAATGATGAGAGAGCGTGGCGGGAGCTCCTCATGCTGCCCCAGTGCGTCCTATGTGCACCAAGTCGCGGCGGCAAACGGCACAGCAAGGCCGTGGCGGCCTACACCCTTGATCGGCTGCAACGGTGGCAAGAAGGGGAACGGCTATCCCTTTGGATGACTCGGTCGCCCGGGCGGCCCCGCCGCTCCACCGCCCCAACCGCCGAAGAACGACGAAACTTAGCAACGAGCCTGGCCAGGGAGGGGTTCGATCGGAAAGCTTGCGCCGCCTTGCTTTCCAAAGGGCTTTGCCCTGAGAGCAGTGCCACCGCCCAAGCACTTCAAGCCCTCCACCCGCAGGAGGCGCCGCCATCCGCTCCAAGCATTCAAGACTTGCCTGTGGGCCCAGACATAGGGCCAGACCTGGTGGCTAGATGCCTTCGAGCATTCCCTTCCAAGACTGCGCCGGGGCCCACCGGCCTCCGCAACAGCTGAAGGATGCGTGTGTTGCGGGTGCCGCCGAATCGTTTTTGACGCAGCTCACGGCGGTGGTGCAACTTTTGGCGCACGGACGGGCACCTGGCTTCGTTGCTCCAGTCCTTGGAGGGGCAAGCCTAGTCGCTCTCCCCAAGCCTGCAGGTGGTGTGCGGCCCATCGCCGTTGGCGAAATTCTTCGACGATTGACTGGCAAGTGCTCCGAGAAGATGCCAGTCACTTTCTCTGGCCTTTGCAAGTGGGTGTTGCAGTCCCCAATGGCTTGGAGAAGGCAGTCCACACCGCCAGAGCCTGGTGTCGCCGGCACACTGGCTCCACAACCAAGGTGTTCCTCAAACTTGATTTCAGCAACGCCTTCAACTCCGTTTCCCGGACGACAGTGCTGCAGGAGGTTCGTGACCATTTCCCGCAGTTGGCGCGATGGACGACTTGGTGCTATGGGCAACCTACACGATTGCAATTTGGCGCGCGCACGTTGGAGTCGTGCTGTGGGGTCCAGCAAGGTGACCCTTTAGGCCCCTTGCTTTTTTCCATTGCCTTGCACAAGGTAGCTGGCTCCCTTCGCCGGCAGCCCCTGGACCTGGCGCTGTTCTATTTGGACGATGGTGCGTTGGCTGGGGATATTGACAATGTCGCTGCAGTGCTGCAGCAGCTTCAGCAAGATTGTCTCACCATCGGCCTGCGCCTCAATCTCGACAAGAGTGAACTTGTTGCCACAGGGCCTGTATCAGAGGCCGCTCTGCGAGCCCGATTCCCCCCGTCCTTGTTGAACAATGCCGGAGGAGCCGGACGGGTGGTGCACAGCTTTGAATTTTTAGGGGCAGCAATTGGCGAGGACACTTTCATCCGAGACCACACAGCTGACCGTGCGGCTAAAGCCGGGAACCTGTTGGATGAATTAGCAGAGCTCCCTGATGCCCAGGTGGGGTTGCGCCTGCTCCGCGCCTGTGGGGGATACGCACGCTTGGTGCACAGCATGCGTTGCAACCCCCCGCAGTCGCAGGGGCTCGCGCTAGATATGTTCGATGGCATGGTCCGACGATGCTTTGGCGACTTGACCGGCATCCACCCGACCACGCAGCAGTGGAGCCAAGCCGCCCGGGGGCTCAGCCATGCAGGTCTTGGCCTGCGGTCCTGTGAGAAGCACGCTTCTGCAGCATTCTTGGCCTCAGTGGGGAGTTCTCTAAGTGCATGTGCTGAGCTGGACACCAACTTTTCTGCCGACGAAGTGAAAACTTGCTCTGCAGTGCTGGCCGCTCTGGCGCATTACAATGCGCAACTCCCACCCCAACAGTCCTTGAGCTTGGAAACCGCTTTGTCTTCCACGCAACGTGATATGTCCCATCGGTTGGATGCTGCAGCATGGGATGCTCAGCTTGGGCAAGCAAGTGTTGTGGAGCAAGCAGTTCTTCACTCTGAAGCTTCAATTGGGGGCCGGGCCTTTCTTACAGCTGTCCCACGTGGTCTCAGTCGCATGGAGCCGGCAGCCTTCTCGGCCGAACTTCGGGTCCGGTTGTCCATGCCAGAAGCCGATGCTGATGTATGGTGTCCCCGCTGTGATGGGGTCCTTGACCAACACAGTCACCACGCAGCCCACCTGCATCGCTGGCGGCGAACGTACCCAGAGACACCATGCCGTGCGTGACTTGGTGTGCCACTGGGCAACCAAAGCCGGACTTCGTCCTCAAGCAGAAGCGCCTCACCTCTTGTTGCCCCAGAGCCCTGATGACTTCGGCAGTGGCCGTCGTCGCCCGGCCGACATTTTCATTCCGGCGTTGGCCGGGTCTCCCACCGCATTGGATTTTGCTGTCACAGCTCACACGCGGCAAGAGACCTTGGCCATAGCCAGCACAACACCGGGGGCTGCGGCTGCCGCGTACGCACAACACAAAGCAGCATACCTTGCCACCGCGCAGACTTGCCAGCAACAAGGTATCCGGTTCTTGCCTATGGTCGCTGAACCGACCGGGTGTTGGGAAGACGGAGCCATGCGCATCTTGAAACGCATTGCGCATGCAGCTGCGGTTCGCAGTGGCGAAGATGCTGGGTGTGCCTTTACCACTTTCCTCCAAGACCTTAGCGTGGTGATCCGCTCCAACCGGGCCCGCGCTGCTCTTCGCCGGCGTGCTGAGCTGAGCACTTTCTGAGCTTGACTTTCTGAGCTTGATCCGTGGTGAGTTACTGTAGAATATTTGTAGACAGTGTTATGGAGGTGCCGGCTGGCTCTTTGGGGCCATCCACTGTTCCCAACGGATGTCTCCGTACAGCTCCATCGTTTTGAGTCGTCCGAGACAGCCTCCCCCCTCCTGGTATTCCACATTCGGGGCGTCAGCTTCTGGGACTTTGCCCTTTCTTCGTTCATTCTGGGCTGTCCGCTGCTGCCTCTTTCTGTAGCATAGAGCTTTCTGGCCCCTTGCATGGAGTGCGGAGCCAACTTTTTTGCTTTTACCAATCTCATACAGAGTGGGATTTGGCGCCAATTTTCTAGCAATTTCTTCAAGGTTTGATTTGTCATCGGGATTTCAACTCCACTACTTACAAAGTAACAAGGCATATGGTGTATATAGTTAGTTATATATATATATATCTTAATATTTGTTTAAGTATTTTTATCCTCAATAGGAACTATGTATATCAGTTTGTGCTTGTGGCATCTCATACAAGTCCCTAACACAAACCCCAAAACGGTTTCGATATCAAAGTTCATAGGTTTTAGCATTTTACCCTTCCAACTTGCTACCGGTTGACTTATTTTTAGTGACACCCAGTCCTAAAACCTCAAAAATCCAAACCCAAACATGCTTAGCGTTCAAAACAATGAGACTTGAGATTCGTCCCAAGCCAATCCAAAAACCGAGCCAATTTCCAACCCAAAACGGAGCTTGTTTTTCCCAAGCACGGAGCCTGTTTTTCCCAAACACGGAACCAGTTTTTCCTCAAAAGCGGAACCTTTTTTTCCCAAGAACGGAGCTTCCCAAAATCAGTGACGGATTTCCCCAAAGTCAGTGACGGATTTCCCCAAAATCGGTGACGGATTTCCTCAAAGTCGGTGACGGATTTCCCCAAAGTCAGTCACGGATTTCCTCAGAAGTGGCGCATTTTGTTAAAGACGGAACCAGGTTTTATCCATATAGCTTTTCTGCACAACAGAGGCAGGTTTTCCTGATTTCCACGGCGAGGTGATGCTTCTCACCAACCAAACTGTCCTCATTATGGTTTTACCACCATTGGCACTTTCCCCAACGACCTTAAACCCAATTTTGAATACATCAACCTCCTCTTGTTTCAGGCAGGATAATATTACCTTGCACCTCCCTTTCAAGCTCGTGAAAGATGATACATTGAGTGCCAACCATGTTTTTTTTGCCTCTCTCCTAGAAAAAATTAAGGATAGGAACATTCCTTTTCGAAGCCATGGCTCGCCAACGAGTGGGTCAATCACGTCGCTTCAACCTGTTGGTTGCTATTGCGACTGTCGTGCTGTGCTTCTTGCACCTGCCCATCAACGGCTCGCAAACTCTAGCAGTACCAGGTTCAGGGACAGAAGCTCGTAGAGCAAGGCTAGAGAAATTGAAGATGAAAGAACTGAAGACAAAGCTGCGCGAGAAGGGTTTGAAGGTGTCAGGGCGAAAAGCAGACCTTGTGGAGCGATTGATGGAAGCGTTGCCGAAAATGCGCAAAATTCCACAAGCAGAGGAACCTGCAATTTTCGATACGGATGTGTTCATTCCTCTGCAGGAAACCAGTCAAAAGCTAGAAACTTTATTGCAAGACAAAAGGGTGGTTTTTCTGCGTGCTGGTGTGGCTAGCGGCAAGTCTACATTGGCGCAGCATCTTTGTTCAGTGCAGCCGTCAAAGTACTTGCAAGTTTATCCTCCTGCTTTTGATAGTTTGACCTCTCAGCACTGGCAGATAAAGTTCAGGGCAGCTTTGGAGAACGAGCCTTCCGGTCCTGATGTAGCGAAACGAAGCATCGAAGATGCAGTCAAATATGTACATGACAATGATCAGGTGCTGGTCTTTGATGAATGCCACTTGCTGTTTGCTTGCCCCGAGTTCTACCAGCAGTTCCTGAAAACGCCCCCGTATCTGAAAAAGCGTCCAATGGTTTTGCTATTATCTGCAGCATCTGAAATGCAAAGTGTGCAAGGACAGACCTTTACAACGCCAACGGAAATTACTGCAAAGTACATGTGGACGCCTCCAATGCCAGATGCCAAAGTGCTTGTTGATCAACTTGCTGATGCCAATGTCTATTTGTCTGAGGACGCAGTCCACTTTTTCCTTCATTTATGTGGAGGTCACAGAGGCATTCTTATGAGAGCCATGGAATGGGTGCAGATGAAGCAGAAAGGCGCCGCTAAACCGTGGACCGTCGCACAAGCCTACGGCGAAGTCAAGATGGCATGGGAAGATGGAGACTGGGGTTGCCCAGGCAGTTTTCTGGCAAACCTTGCAACTGTTCGCGCCATTCGTGTAAACGGAAATTATGCAGATCTTGCAAATATCCCACAAAAGTTTCTTGAGATCTTATGCGGTGGTGCCACCAGCAACTTGGAATCGGAAGACCGTCGTAATCTCACAATCCATGGTTTCTTGCTTCCAGTTGCTGCTAAAGGCAGTACTGAAGAGTTCTTGCGATATGATTGGAGTGCGCAGGGGGCAAGTTACGGTGTTTCCTCCCACTTGTTGGCTTCTTATTATCGCTATGTCCTAGAGAAGCGGCGACAACTCGAAGTAGATGTGAATAGGACCGCGTCATCATGCACTGATCTTTTGTTGAGAGCGCTGCCAATATCCCTAAAATCAAAAACATCAGTTAGTAAATACACATCAGTCATCAAATACAAATCATGATAGTCACCAAGATTCTGAATGTTAAAATGTTTCCACACAATATTTGCTCTGGCGTAGTCTTTGTCAGTTATGTTTTCTTCATATAATTGACTGTAAAAATCTTCTTTGTCTGGTAGTTTTATTTCACCGAATTTCTCCCATGAGTTCATGTAGTCATAGGGATATACCCCTTTCTCAGTTAGTAAATTCAAATCAGTTTTGGATTTAATGTATGGGTTAGTGCTTGTATATCTAAAACGAGTTTCCCAGTCTTTAATCTTTTCGTTTCCTTCATATTTGTTCAGTCTAACTAATTTATCTAATGATGCTGTTAAGAAAGCAAAACTGTCTTTAAACTGACAAGCGCCAAATGAAAAGGTTATGAAAATTCGCTGTTTTTTGCTATTACATCTATTCTTTTGTTTTGGTTTAGTTCTATGTTTAGTTCATTTGCTTTTGCTATGATTAAGTGAGCGTCATAATTTTTTAGATTATGAAAGAAAATAGGGATTTTAAAATACCTAAATGAATAATCCAAATTACATTTTACATGCGCCGCGCCTCTGTATTTGCCTGTGAAGTGGCAGTGGTCTTGGACTTTTGCATCATCAGGTTGAAATTTCTTATTACATATAGAGCAGTGGGTCGCGTTTCTAAATTCCGTCTTTTGTTCGTAAGTTAATGCATCCATTGGTTTATTAACATTCATCTTTTCAAATATATCTTTCTTAATTTCAGTCAGTTTCTCTACAAAGTGTTTCATACAATCCTCACCCCTGCATAAATACGGTTTGCAAGTATTATCAATCCTGCTTACAACATTCAACATATAACCGCAAGGTTTATGTTCTTGATATGTGCCTTTTATACCATTTTTAGAGTTAGTCGTTAGACAGTCAAAATCACCATAAATTACAAGAGGACAAGGCAATTTAGTATTATGCTTTTCAAATTCTATATAGGTGTCTTTATCTGGCATCTTTGTTTGTTGTCCTTCTGATGCCATACATCCGTTTTCAAGATGTTTCTTATATACCTTTTCTGATTGAAAGGGATTTAAACAATGGTGGCAGTAAAACTTTTTATTTGTGTTGCTACTGCTTTGACCGTTTAATAATCTACATTTATTTTTAACTAATACGTAGTGATAACTATTATCTTCATCATAGATTTTTAGTAAATCAATTTCGTATTTAGCATTTCTATTTTTAGTGCCTCTATGCAATATAATCTTATTATCATTTAAGCAGTCATCGGGTTCAAACACATTTATTGAAACTGATTTATTGTTCTCTTCAAATCTGTCAATGTCCCTATTGCCAGTTGGAAAATGTACCCCGTCCCAGTTCAAAATATCATCTTTCAGTTTATTATAGTGGAACATTTCCTCTGGGTGGTGTTTGCTTATTTTGTCATAGACTACGGATTGAATACAATATTTGAAGCATTTTTGGTCTCTGTTCTATATGTTGATACATGCCTTTTTTAGCTTAATCCATTCAGGTAATTCTATGTATCTCCCTGCTCTTGTTGGGTCATATTTGTCATAGTGAATGGTTATTGTCAAAATCTTCTTAAATCTTAAATTGGATGCTGATGCTTCTAAATTCTGTATTTGTAATAAGATTTGTTTAACACTGTCTTCTAATGCTTGCGTCAGTTCATCCTCATTACTAATATTGAAGCGGGTTGATGGTAGGGCATATACAAGTTCCTGACTTCCTAATTCATTTCCTCCATCATCAAATTCAGGTTTTTCAAATAATCCTTCCGTTCTTATGTTAAGTTTCATGCTTCTATTATTTCTTAAAAAAATATGATAGTCTTTGTTTTTGGCGCGCAATCATTTCTAATCCCCTTTCTCCTTGAAAGTGTTTATTTTCTAAAACTATTGCATTAGCGTATCTTGTAAATGCTGATTGAATATCTCTGACCCTAAATTTATTTCTGATTGCGTGTTTGGTTAGTATTTGTCTCACTCTTCCTTCACTGAACGCATCTTTTGCCTTGTTTAAAGCATAACTTCTGTATTCATTAGTTTTCTTGACCGTCAGTAGTTTCTTTGTTAAGACACTAGATATTGGTTTGTCTTTGTTGCATCTGAATTTCTTATCATCTATTATTATTATTGACTTTAATTCTCTTCTTCCTCGTTTTGGTATTTCTGCTAAATCATTACTCAATAAATAGTTTTTAACCTTTTTCATCATATAATAGTATATATTTTATTTAGTTAATTTATCTTTAAGTAGTTTTTCAAAGAATTCTACATTTTAATCTTGGAATATATACTGAAAGACTAAGTTATTTATATAAGTTTTATAAGACGAATTGTATGAAGGGTTTGCCTGTTGATGCGTTGCGCAAGATCGCTCCTTATAAAATTGGAGACCCTAAATATTTGACAATAAAGCATAGTGAAGCATTGAAGAGAATACGGAACAAACATAAAATATCAAGATTTGGTCCTAAAAAAACAAGACATTTGAAACCAAGAAAAAAATGTAATTGAATACTGTATTGTGAGAGAGGGAGTGCCATTTGGTTTAAAAAGTATAGGAAACATCATAACAGAAGAAAAAGAAGAATTACTATCTTTGATTTATGAAGAAGTAGAAGAAGATAAGTTAAACTTGATATTGAAGTCCAAATAGTAGCAAAACTCCCAGATAAAGAATATGGAGACAATGAAATTAGTTATAGAGAAATTTACTTCATGCATGACTTTGATGAATATGTAGATGAAGATAATATAGAATATGCATTGAATAAAGCAGATGAAGAAATAAATACCGACATAGAAGAAGACCAAGATAAAGATAGTATAATAGGAATACAAGCATTTCATTTTGATTTGATAATTATTGAAGATATTTACTACTAACATATTTCCAATAATATTTATTTATTAGAATTATGGATTTGTAAGATAGGGTTATTAAAGGGTAGGGAATAATGTTTATTGTTGTCTTTTTTTTTTACGTATGTTGTTCTTGGGGTCAACGCCCCGAGGCGGGCGTGGTTTTTTCCACGTTTGTGCTCTTTGGCAGTATACGTGTTTAACGCTCTTGCCGACTGTAAGATGACGCTACCGAAGACACGTTGCCCAACTTTGTTGCTGACGTCTTGCTACCTTGACCGCGAGGGGGGGTGGGGGGGGGGGGGGGGATGATAACGTTCCTTTCGACTGTAAGATGACGCTACCGAAGACACGTTGCCCAACTTTGCTAGGTTCATTTACAACATACATTTATCAAAACGCGTGTTTTTTATATACATGTATGTTTACATGTTTATATATATATGTGTAAAGGGTATTTAAAATATCTATGTATTCATGTCTCAAACAGATGTTGCGGAATTGCAAAAGTTTTTTTTGGCATTTTGACATCTTGCAGCAAACGTCAAAACATCATAGATCACAAGCATAAAATACTGCAAATTACAGTGTAAAAAGGTGATTTTTGATTCAATCACCAAGTACACAATTGTAGAAAACCCACACCCGCCTCAAGGCGGTGTTCCCTTGTTCATCGCTTGGTTTGTTTTTGTTTTTGGTTGTTGTAGGAATTCTTGGAAAAAACATTTAAGAAGATAATCATATTTATATGTAATGGATAAATTTTGTAGATACTGTGTTAAAGATTTACAAATTGATAATTTTGAAGATGGATTGAAGACTTGTAAGACATGCTTGGAATACAAGAGAAAGAACTATGACAAACATACAGATAAAGTGAATGAAACACGAAGAACTAAATATAAAGAAGATGAATAATATAGAAAAAAGAAACAGGAACAAATACAAAACTATCGTGATAAAGTTGCCTTTTGTAATGTATGTAATTCATCAATGAAGGCACAATGTCATTCAAGACATTTAAAAACAGAGAAGCATAAAAGGAATTTAGGAACGGTTGATGGATAGGATTTTGTAAAATGAATAAGGTAATAATGCTTTTGACTGCTATGAATTTGAAAAAATGAATGAGGTAAGTATGTTTTGACTGCTATGATTTTGAAAAATTGACTGAGGTAAGTATGCTTTGACTGCTATGATTTTGAAAAATTGAATGAGGTAAGCATGCTTTGACTGCTATGATTTTTAAAAATTGAATGAGGTAATTATGTTTTGATATTGTTGAGAAAGATGAAGCAATTAACAATATATAAACTGGCTTTTTGGACTGTTATGTGTTTTTTGTTTAATGAAAAAAAATGATTTGTTATACTGCTATGATATTAGTTTAGAAAACTTCACTGAATCATTTTTTTTACATTTTTTCCCCTACCCGAGTTTTTCAGGAATGCCAGAATTACCCATCATTTACGTTTTTGTTTAGTGTCAAATAAGGTCTCCGCAGCTTGCAACCATCACAGCTGCCATTGCTGCCGCAAGACAAACCCCACCGGCTGTGCCGGGTGCAGCCCCGCTTCTTGGTGTGAATTCGGCATACTTGGTTGAAGGTGGAGACCACTTTTTGTCTAAACATCAGAACCACCATAACAATCATCCATTTCAAGTCATGTTTTTTTTCTTCCCCTAAGGCAGCCATTGGGTGGGCTAGCCGTGGGAGCTCCACCTGGACTTCCAGCCCAGGGTGCAGCGCCTGTTGCTTTGCCACCGGCGGCCCCTCCAGCACTGCCCACCACCCCAATGCCAACTGCAGCGGTCCCTGGTCCCGTGGTGGCCACAGCCCCACCGCCCGCGCCAGCGCCCAACCCGCAGGCGGCGGCGATTCTGGCGCAACTGGCTGCAGGAGCCACCGGCACAGGTGGAGCGGCAACCTCACAGTCTGCTGTCTTAGCCGCCCTGGCCCAAAATGCCGCTGGCACGCAAGCACCAGCCGCCGCACCTCCCAATCCCCAGGCAGTTGCACTGCTACAAGCTTTGGCTGGGGGTGCTACTGGAACTGCACCTGCTGCACCTGCTATAGGCCCTTCACCACCTCCATCATCCACATTGACCCCACAAGCGGCTGCTGTCATTGCTGCGCTCGTGGCCAGGCAACAGCAACAGGCATCACAAGCTGCAACTCCAGGCTTGCAAAGCTCACTGGCCCTCACCCCCCAACCAGCAACTGCCGCCCCAAATGCCCCACCCACTGGATCTGGACAGATCGATCTCTTTGCTCACTTAGCCGCCTCCGCACGCATCAATGCAGCCATGAATGCTGCCTATGCACCAGCTGAAGAAGAGCAGCCGCCTCCAACAGCCCCTGAGCCTGCAGCCTTTGATAAGGATGCCTTGAAGAGACTAGCGCAGAGAGCAGCAGAGGGACCCATTGAAGATGAGCTACCTCCGCCACCACCACCAGAGCACAAGAAGCCACCTGCAGCCCCGACCTCAGGTCGTTGCGAGAAGGCTTGATTTTTCTGAAGCTGGGGAAGTCCAAAATCTATAGATGCTTACAACTAAAATTAAGTAAAAAACAACCGAAATCAGTGGGTTCAGGTCTTAAATTCCAACCCATAGCCATCCATTTAGTGTCACTGGCCAAGGAAGAGACGGCATTGGTTCCCGCCGATCCGCCGGGCCCACCCGCCCGGCACTTGGTCTGCACCTATTGGATATACCCAGCAGGTGGGTCCCATCTACAACTGAAGTTTTTTTGGGCCCATTGAAACTCGGGTTGGCGAATGGATTGAGGTTGCAGAAGTGCCAATGGAGGCGCCTGAGCAGGGTATGCCGCAGGAAATGACGCTTGCAATTCATCGGATATTTTTGGATTTTGCTCAGACACTGCATGATGATCATAAGTGACACATTTATTTCAGGAGCCTTGAAGCAGCAGCCAGACCCGCAAAACTCGTGTACCTCAACCATTCAACTGCAGGAGGGAGCCGAAGCTAGTGAGGGACAGGATGCCGAGACCAATGGTCGCCACCCTAGCTCTGAATGAAAACATGGACTCTGTGCAAGTGGATGCAACCACTTTCGAACTATTTGAGCTGTTGATTTCAATCTTCCAGTAGATACTGTAGCTTATGATAGGTTATCATCATTTGTTGTCCATTCAGGCAATGTTTTCCAACGTTTTCCCTGTATGTTGCTGCGCTGCACGTTTGCGCCTAGGCAGCCTTCTCCTGCCAGCGCCAGAAGCAGCTTATCTGAAGTTTGCCAGTGGTTCGTCTTATGTGTTTGTCAAAATTTGTCAACTGGTTTTTGTCCAAGAATGGGGAATCATCCGATCAGCAATTAGGTATTGTGGTGGTGGTACCCTATTCATGGACGCACCCACATGTTTTTCTTTTTGAATCTGTTGGAACAGTTGTTCCGTGGCATTGTTTTCAGGCCGAAGTGAAGAAAAAGGACTCCTCTTCGATTGCAACGATGTTGAGCTACGTCCAACACTCAGCGTGCTCTTCAGCTACAACACCAAAGATGAGGAATCCCATCGCCCCAATACTAAACATCCCCCAAAATGGTCCCCTAAACCATGTTTTCTGGGGTGTGTTTCGCATTAAAGGATTGCCCTCAAACATGGATGATAGGTTAATGCTAAAACCCACCGAAGTCTGTGGTTCTAAACAGGCCTTAAACCTTGACCGACAGCACAGGCGCAGCACAATGTGGCGAAGGGCAAAGTGCCTTCGGACAAAGCTGTGGACACGGCTTCCTTGCAACAGGACAGGGGCATCAGCGGGTTCATGGCCCCTGTCTGTGTCCGCTGGAGTCAATGAGCAATGGGATACATCCCAGCCAGTGTCCAAATGAAGCAACCACATAGTATCGAAATCGCAGAATATGTGGCAAACCATTTAAGTTGTCTCCCAACGAGCTTGTCCTGAAACGGGTTACATAGAGCCCTAAGATGCCTCATGCAATGGGGAAACCAGTTTTTCAAAAACCAATGTTTTTTTTTCCATTCATTGCAGAATGTGGAATTTTCCACTACAATCAGCACCAAGGTCTTTCAACATGCCAGGAAAAGCATCCAAAAAGCCTTGGAAACAAACACATATTCATGCAAATGCCACAGAAAATTCATCACTTTGATGAGTGAAATGATGAACCGTTGGCTTTTGGCGGAATATTTTTTTGTTCAGAAATTCATTTGTTCAGAGACAGGCATTCACCATCGGTGGTGGAGCATCGGGCCACTTCAGCATGAAGGGAGGATTGATGTTTCTGGGCGTTGTCAGGTCCAAGCATGGCCGGTATGGAAGCAATGGGGGCTGGAAGCACTTGGATGTCCCAGTTGGTATTTGTGGCTAATAAGCATATGAGATAACTGAGATAACCAACTTATTTCTTGTACAATCAAAAAACATGAATCAAAAGTGGGATTCAGAACTTTAGATGGGTATTTTGCCAGCTTCACAAGAGTATCACCATCAAACATTGAGATTTGAGATGGTTTCAGGTACCTTCGAATGAATTTATGACTTGCTGCTGGTTGGGTCCGGAGTAGTACAGAAAATCGCTTCAGAGGCTTTGTGGCAATTGGAGATATTGGATGCTTCAAGCACGTTTGGAAACATGTTCCACACCACATTCTTTTTTTTTACCGGAGAGACTTGACCCGTCCCCTCCAACGCCCCTCCAACCAGGTTGTCACCCTTTGATAGCCTTCTACACCGCCTGGATGCAGCAGGCCCATTGTGATCATAGGTCACCCTGCAGGTCACCCTGCAGGTCACCCAACAGATCTGTCACTGGTAACCTCATTTTCCAGTGAAGTCTTTGTTTTTTTCAGGTTCCATGGTCCATTTCAAGGGTTAACCTGAACATGTTGGGATGGTAGACATCACCATTCTTGCTGCATAAGCTCCAGTATTTGCTAGTCAAATCCCAAGGATTGCTGCTGACCTTCCGTTTTTTCTGAGTCACATCAGACATGTTCTAACATCTTTCTGCAGAATCATGAGCACATCCCAGTTTGTTGCTAGAAATCCGACCCCCAGGTGGTTGTCCGTCGAAACGTCGAAATCCCCAGACGTTTTTCGCCCTCAAAATGGCCAGGTGCCGACCTCTCCTCCGAGGACCGCAAGGACCTCCAGCTGCAGATCACGGCGCTGCTCCCGAAGCTCGAAGCACAGAAGGCGGCCGACCTGGTCTGCAAGCTGCAGACGGCCGAGGGTTGGGTGCCTCAGGAGCCGAGATGGAACTGGAAGCTGGGTGATTTTTGGGCAAAACCTTGGAAGCTTGACTGTTTAGGTTAGAGGTTCACCAACATGATGGATCAAGCTATCTAAGATTCGCCATGCATGGAGCTTCACCAAGTCAGACCAACCGATGGTGATATCAATATTCCTTTGCCTAGATCATCCTAGATCCATGGCAAGCATTTAGGCATTAAAGTTGGGGCACTCCAAAACCATTGAAATTTCCATTGAACATAACACATACCATCTGGTTATTTAACATAGCCATGGAAAATCACCATTTTTAATAGGTAAACCCAGGTAAACCATCTATTTCTATGGGCCATTTTCCATGGCGAACTGTTAAATTACCAGAGGGTAACACATATATAAATAGGGTATATTCTCAATTATAGCCATTTAATAGGGATAATGATCATTAACCATTGGGTTTAGGGGTACACTATTTTCAGACACACCCATATATATATATATATAACTTGGATTCTGGTGTACCCCATTGCTTCCGACACCCTTTTTTTCTGTCAGGTCTGCGCAGCGCGACATTTCTGGATGAAATCGCCAAGATGCTTCCAGCATCGCGCTTCACCAGTCAGCTCAGCAGCCTTAAAGTCATGTTTTTGTTTTTTTTTCATTTGTTTCTTATGTTTCTTGTGCCACATTTTTTTGATAATTGGGGGGAAATTGAGCCTGAACCCGCAAATTTGGATTGGAAAAAATGGACAAAACAAGTTAACAGCGCCATAGATCCTGCAGAATTTCCATAAAAAAGCACGTTTTGAGGTCCGCACTTGACGCGGATTTTAGCGACCTTAGCCAGCTGGGCGGCAGCCGTCAGTGGACCCTGGGCTTTCATGAAATCGGAGATTTACCCGGAAATGGACATTCAAAGTTTCAGGAAAATGATATTGGAACATTATAATTATAATCTTTCTAATCCGTGAGCCCCAAAATGTAAAGATTTTCAGATTTCAACACATCGGGAATGCTTTGTACATGTTTATACAACCAACTTCTGGTAAATTGGTAAATAATGGTGGTTGTTGCAGCTTTGAAGCTGAGGAAGTGACGCTGATGGAAAGCCTAAGCTGTCTGAAGATGCCTGAGGGCTCAGTAGATCCCAGATTTTGGAGCAGCCTGCGGTTATGAGAGTACGAAACAACGATCATTGGGTAGTCTACTAGAAAAAAACTGATCCATCAAAATCAATGATTGAACTACGACATCAAAGAACTTGAACGGGCAGGGAAAAACCCTCGTGGTAAAGGTGTGTGGCTCCATGTTTCCTGTCCACTGATCGACTGCCTGATAGACTGATAGGTACATAGAAGGAGATAGACAGAGATAGACAGAGATAGACAAAGCGGACCAGGGAGGAGTCGAACCTCCAGAATCATGCTGGAATGTCAGAAGACATCAAGGAGCAACGCCACACCCATAGGGCTACTGGTCCTGCTAGCTTCTCAGATGATTTTAATGTTACTAGTCGCAGGAACCTTGGACAAAATTTGTTTCCCATCCCTTCCATACTTTCCTGTTTTCAGGTCGCCCAGATAGATGGATTGTTGGGCCGTGCTGCTGAGGCCAGGTCCTTCTTCACCACCTCCGCCGCTGAGCTCTCCTTGAGGCCAGCGGATGAGAATTTGATGATTCACTGGGCTACTTATGGGGTGATTTATAGGGAATCTTACGGGATAAGTGCCCGGTTGAAGATGAACCTCCAACATCGCTGGATTTGTTTAGGTGGGAAAATCGAAAGGCGGAGACAGGAAACCATACTGTAGTTTTTTTTGCCACAGAGTATTCGGATGTATTCGGGGTTTTCTGTAGTTTTTTCCTTAAACCAGTTCTGGGAAAGAATTATGGAATTTCCCGCAATGATGCATAACTAGCTAAGTATAGTCTGTAACAATAGGCCACATGGTATATAAACAATCTATAAATGGGGTGTTTACCACTCATTAATGGAAAATTACTGATATATATATATGTATATGTACATATTTATTTGTGGATAGAACCAACAAATTGATATGTACACATTGTTGTTGACTATGTATCTATCTGTCTGTGTATGTAATTACACATATATATATATATATTTATATATATGTATATGTATATGTAACATATATATATATATGTATATGTAACATATATATATATATATATGTATATATATATGCAATATACATGTGAGCAAGGGTCAAAAGATGGTATGTACAGATTTAGTATTCGGCCGCCGTCACTTTCAAAAATCTGTGATTTCCTGTGGGGAGCGATAGGGAGCCTTGAAGAGCGATACCCCCTTAAGTAGGAAAATATGTTGTCATACTACTACTACTACTGCTGCTGCTACTACTACTACTACTACAACTACAAGAGCTACTACTACTACTGCTGCTACTACTAGTACTACTAGTACTACTAGTACTACTAGTACTACTAGTCCTACTAGTACTACTAGTACTGCTAGTACTACTAGTACTACTAGTACTACTAGTACTACTAGTACTGCTAGTACTAGTAGTACTAGTAGTACTAGTAGTACTAGTACTACTAGTACTAGTACTAGTACTAGTACTAGCACTACTACTACTACTACTATTAGTACTACTACTACTACTAGTACTACTAGTACTAGTTAACTGGTCCTAACGGTTCCTACTGGTCCTACTGGTCCTACTGGTCCTACTGGTCCTACTGGTCCTACTGGTCCTACTGGTCCTACTGGTCCTACTGGTCCTATTGGTCCTACTGGTCCTACTGGTCCTACTGGTCCTACTGGTCCTACTGGTCCTACTGGTCCTACTGGTCCTACTGGTCCTACTGGTCCTACGGGTCCTACGGGTCCTACGGGTCCTACGGGTCCTATGGGTCCTACGGGTCCTACGGGTCCTACTGGTCCTACTGGTCCTACTGGTCCTACTGGTCCTACTGGTCCTACTGGTCCTACTGGTCCTACTGCTACTACTACTACTACTACCACTGCTACCACTGCTACCACTGCTACCACTGCTACCACTGCTACCACTGCTACCACTGCTACCACTGCTACTGCTACTGCTACTACTACTACTGCTACTACTACTACTACTACTACTACTGGAAGAGGGACTTCGACACCCTCTATTTTGTCACACTTCCCTTAAAGCGAATAAGCTTGTGTTATTTTTTAATTCACCTTGGGGATTTCCGGACAGAGGGCACAGCCCGTGAGCGCCCCCAAAAGGGTCTGAAACCGGTCTGAAAGCACTCTGAAACACCTTCCGGCTCACCATCTCAGAATCTTTGTTTCTTCGGTTACAGCATCATTGCTTTATTTCGGTTTTTAGTTGCAGGAATGATGTGTTGTTTTTTTTGTTTTGGTTTCATTGCTGGAGCATTAAGTTCAGCCTCTTTTCTAGGAAAAGAGCAAAGCCCCGTGAGCGCCCCCAAAAGGGTCTGAAACCGGTCTGAAAGCACTCTGAAACACCTTCCGGCTCACCATCTCAGAATCTTTGTTTCTTCGGTTACAGCATCATTGCTTTATTTCGGTTTTTAGTTGCAGGAATGATGTGTTGATTTTTTTGTTTTGGTTTCATTGCCGGAGCATTAAGTTCAGCCTCTTTTCTAGGAAAAGAGCAAAGCCCCGTGAGCGCCCCCAAAAGGGTCTGAAACCGGTCTGAAAGCACTCTGAAACACCTTCCGGCTCACCATCTCAGAATCTTTCTATGTATGTGGGTGGTCGGTGGTGGGCTTGCGAATGGCCTTTTTCTGTGGTTTCAGACCCTTTTCAGACCTGTTTCAGACCAATTGGGCAGTTGCTTCCAATTTACAGACTCAGGGTAGCTCCAGCTTTCTGTGACTACAACGAATACTACCATTATCACTTTTAATATTAACGAACTTCTACTATTATCGTCGTTGTTATTGTTATTATTGAGGCTACTATTGTTATTGTTATTTGTAAGACTAAAATTATCATTGTTTTTATAATGGGCGCGATTTTTTTAAAAATTATTTCTGCTATTGCCGCATTTTTATAATGGACAAAGAAGAAGTCTTGAGACGCCTACATTGCCGCCTAGATTCACCCAAAGTACTGAATTCACCCAAAGTACTGCCTGTAGATAGCTTTGAAATGAATCTGAAATGAGTCTGAAATGTGTCTGAAATGTGACTGAAATGAATCTGAAAGAGGCTTGCAAGGACTTCCTTCCTTCCCGTGTGGGCCCAGGCTCTAATCAGAGAGCTTTCCTGACGCAGTGATTGTATGGTCCAGCATCAGGAGCAGCCTCAGACATTCGCGTCTAGGACAAGAGAGATCAGAAGAGGAAGGGTGCTTAACCACGCTCACTATGTGGAGGTCACATGGCTGCTATTTGAGATGTTCACCGGCTAGAAACAAATCAATGGATTCTGCTTGTCGAGCCCGGATTCGGTCCGGATTCGCTGCAAAAGATTCATGTCCGAACTTACTTTCTACCTACTTTCTGCTTGACATCGCCTACATTGCTGCCCTTTTTCTGCTCAAGATTCACAATCTGTAAAACACAATGCCGCTATATGAGGATGGTTGCCAAAAAAGAAACAAATCCTGCATTCTGGCAGTAAAGTCCGGATTCCTTCCGGAATTGTCAGAGCACTTGTGGGGTTTCAGCTAGAGATGGGACATTGAATTCACCCAAAGTACTGCCTGTAGATAGCTCTGAAATGAATCTGAAATGAGTCTGAAATGTGTCTGAAATGTGACTGAAATGAATCTGAAAGAGGCTTGCAAGGACTTCCTTCCTTCCCGTGTGGGCCCAGGCTCCAATCAGAGAGCTTTCCTGACGCAGTGTTGTATGGTCCAGCATCACGAGCAGCCTCAGACATTCGCGTCTAGGACAAGAGAGATCAGAAGAGGAAGGGTGCTTAACCACGCTCACTATGTGGAGGTCACATGGCTGCTATTTGAGATATTCACCGGCTAGAAACAAATCAATGGATTCTGCTTGTCGGGCCCGGATTCGGTCCGGATTCGCTGCAAGAGATTCATGTCCGAACTTACTTTCTACCTACTTTCTGCTTGACATCGCCTACATTGCTGCCCTTTTTCTGCTCAAGATTCACAATCTGCAAAACACAATGCCGCTATATGAGGATGGTTACCAAAAAAGAAACAAATCCTGCATTCTGGCAGTAAAGTCCGGATTCCTTCCGGAATTGTCAGAGCACTTGTGGGGTTTCAGCTAGAGCTGGGACATTGAATTCACCCAAAGTACTGCCTGTAGATAGCTCTGAAATGAATCTGACATGAATCTAAAATGTGTCTGAAATATGACTGAAATGAATCTGAAAGAGGCTTGCAAGGACTTCCTTACTTCCCGTGTGGGCCCAGGCTCCAATCAGAGAGCTTTCCTGGGAGTGATCGTATGGTCCAGCATCACGAGTAGCCTCAGCATCCGCATTTAGGACAAGAGAGATCAGAGGAGGAATGGTAACGAAAAGGAGATGAATCCTGCATTCTGGTTGTGGAGTCCGGATTGAGTCCGGAAACGTGAGACAGTCAAAGAACATGTCAAAAGAACATTATCTCAACTACTTCCCAGTACTAGTTTGCACTACAAAACTTGCACAAACTACTTCCCAGTACTACTTTGTACTACATGGCTTGCACAAACTACTTCCCAGTACTACTGTGTACTACAAAGCTTGCACAAACTACTTCCCAGTACTACTTTGCACTACAAAGCTTGCACAAACCATATCCCAGTACTACTTTGCACTACAAAGCTTGCACAAACTACTTCCCAGTACTACTTTGTACTACAAACTACTTCCCAGTACTACTGTGTACTACAAAGCTTGCACAAACTACTTCCCAGTACTACTTCGCACTACAAAGCTTGCACAAACCACTTCCCAGTACTGCTGTGTACTACAAAGCTTGCACAAAGCACTTGCAAACAATGCGAAGGTATGAATGCGACATGTCTCCGTTCTTGTCATGTTCCTTTTGTTTCCCTAGCATTTCCTTGTATGTTGTGTTCAAGTCTTTTCTGTCTGTAAATTGTTCTTTTCATCAAGGTCAGCTAGACCCCCCGAAGAGGTCTGAAACCACTCTGAAACCGCTCTGAAACCACAGAAGTTCAACACGTGCAGAGCTACTACTTCCAGTACTACTTCCCAGTACTACTGTGTACTACAAAGCTTGCACAAACCACTTCCCAGTACTACTGTGTACTACAAAGCTGGCACAAAGCACTTCCCAGTACTACTGTGTACTACAAAGCTTGCACAAGGCACTTCCCAGTACTACTGTGTACTACAAAGCTTGCACAAAGCACTTCCCAGTACTACTGTGTACTACAAAGCTTGCACAAACACTTCCCAGTACTACTGTGTACTATAAAGCTTGCACAAAGCACTTCCCAGTACTACTGTGTACTACAAAGCTTGCACAAAGCACTTCCCAGTACTACTTTGTACTACAAAGCTTGCACAAACTACTTCCCAGTACTACTCTGTACTACAAAGCTTGCACAAACTACTTCCCAGTACTAGTTTGCACTACAAAGCTTGCACAAACTACTTCCCAGTACTACTTTGTACTACATGGCTTGCACAAACTACTTCCCAGTACTACTGTGTACTACAAAGCTTGCACAAACTACTTCCCAGTACTACTTTGCACTACAAAGCTTGCACAAACCATATCCCAGTACTACTTTGCACTACAAAGCTTGCACAAACTACTTCCCAGTACTACTTTGTACTACAAACTACTTCCCAGTACTACTGTGTACTACAAAGCTTGCACAAACTACTTCCCAGTACTACTTCGCACTACAAAGCTTGCACAAACCACTTCCCAGTACTGCTGTGTACTACAAAGCTTGCACAAAGCACTTGCAAACAATGCGAAGGTATGAATGCGACATGTCTCCGTTCTTGTCATGTTCCTTTTGTTTCCCTAGCATTTCCTTGTATGTTGTGTTCAAGTCTTTTCTGTCTGTAAATTGTTCTTTTCATCAAGGTCAGCTAGACCCCCCGAAGAGGTCTGAAACCACTCTGAAACCGCTCTGAAACCACAGAAGTTCAACACGTGCAGAGCTACTTCCCAGTACTACTTCCCAGTACTACTGTGTACTACAAAGCTTGCACAAACCACTTCCCGGTACTACTGTGTACTACAAAGCTTGCACAAAGCACTTCCCAGTATATACTACTGTGTACTACAAAGCTTGCACAAAGCACTTCCCAGTACTACTTTGTACTACAAAGCTTGCACAAACTACTTCCCAGTACTACAAAGCTTGCACAAGGCACTTCCCAGTACTACTGTGTACTACCAAGCTTGCACAAACCACTTCCCAGTACTACTGTGTACTACAAAGCTTGCACAAAACACTTCCCAGTACTACTGTGTACTACAAAGCTTGCACAAAGCACTTCCCAGTACTACTGTGTACTACAAAGCTTGCACAAACCACTTCCCAGTACTATTGTGTACTACAAAGCTTGCACAAAGCACTTCCCAGTACTACTGTGTACTACAAAGCTTGCACAAGGCACTTCCCAGTACTACTGTGTACTACAAAGCTTGCACAAACCACTTCCCAGTACTACTGTGTACTACAAAGCTTGCACAAAGCACTTCCCAGTACTACTGTGTACTACAAAGCTTGCACAAACTACTTCCCAGTACTACTGTGTACTACAAAGCTTGCACAAACCTCTTCCCAGTACTACTGTGTACTACAAAGCTTGCACAAACTACTTCCCAGTACTACTGTGTACTACAAAGCTTGCACGAACTACTTCCCAGTACTACTTTGCACTACAAAGCTTGCACAAACTACTTCCCAGTACTACTTTGTACTACAAAGCTTGCACAAACCACTTCCCAGTACTACTTTGTACTACAAAGCTTGCACAAACCACTTCCCAGTACTACTGTGTACTACAAAGCTTGCACAAAGCACTTGCAAACAATGCGAAGGTATGAATGCGACATGTCTCCGTTCTTGTCATGTTCCTTTTGTTTCCCTAGCATTTCCTTGTATGTTGTGTTCAAGTCTTTTCTGTCTGTAAATTGTTCTTTTCATCAAGGTCAGCTAGACCCCCCGAAGAGGTCTGAAACCACTCTGAAACCGCTCTGAAACCGCTCTGAAACCACAGAAGTTCAACACGTGCAGAGCTACTTCCCAGTACTACTTCCCAGTACTACTGTGTACTACAAAGCTTGCACAAACCACTTCCCAGTACTACTGTGTATTACAAAGCTTGCACAAAGCACTTCCCAGTACTACTGTGTACTACAAAGCTTGCACAAAGCACTTCCCAGTACTACTGTGTACTACAAAGCTTGCACAAAATCGTTCCCAGTACTACTGTGTACTACAAAGCTTGCACAAAGTCGTTCCCAGTACTACTGTGTACACAAAGCTTGCACAAAGTCGTTCGCAGTACTACTGTGTACTACAAAGCTCGCACAAACTACTTCCCAGTACTACTGTGTACTACAAAGCTTGCACAAAGCACTTCCCAGTACTACTGTGTACTACAAAGCTTGCACAAAGCACTTCCCAGTACTACTGTGTACTACCAAGCTTGCACAAAGCACTTCCCAGTACTACTTTGTACTACAAAGCTTGCACAAACTACTTCCCAGTACTACTGTGTACTACAAAGCTTGCACAAACTACTTCCCAGTACTACTTTGCACTACAAAGCTTGCACAAACCACTTCCCAGTACTACTTTGTACTACATGGCTTGCACAAACTACTTCCCAGTACTCCTGTGTACTACAAAGCTTGCACAAAGCACTTCCCAGTACTACTGTGTACTACAAAGCTTGCACAAACTACTTCCCAGTACTACTGTGTACTACAAAGCTTGCACAAACTACTTCCCAGTACGAAATACTAAGTGAATACTAAATATTTAACATTCGAAAACAAGTACGAGAATAATGATGAAAAACAACTGAAATGATGAAAGTGATCCGGGAGTGTGGTCGCGCAAGAAACGCGCAAGGTTGGCGCAAGCTCGGCCCAAGAGGCCTTTGTGGGAACAGTAATTTAGGACAACCCCCATATGCATAAAAAATGCACATAAATATACATATTTATATAATTTTATATATTTATATGAATACATATATGGTTTTTGGCAAAAAGTGAGCTCCCACTGTGTGAAGCGATAGGGAGCCTTGAGGAGCGATACCCCCTAAACTGATGACCATGGAATCAGTACCATGTTTTGACCGTCGCACATGTGTATATATATATATACATAAATATATGTTATTTTTTGGTTTGTCCCAATAATAGCGGAGGCAGTCCCGCAACGAATGGCAATTTGGACGGAAACTGATACTTTTTAATGTGAAAACCAAAAAATATTGGGCTAGGCGATTTCACCAGGTGAACTGACCCGTATCCAAGTTGACTCGTTGGAATGAAGCAAGAATGCACATATCTGTGGAAGTTTTTACAATTTTCATGTCATCACAGTCCAAGCTCTTGATGGAATATGGCATATGGCCGGAAAATGATGGAATATGATGGAATATCATGGAATAAACTGGCATATTTGTTTCCATTCCTTTCCAAGTTTCCATCCGCGGCAGGTTGATGGATGTCGCACCAAGAGACCTCAGCCAGATCGCCAACGCCATGGCCACCATCGGCCAAACGGAGGTTGGAAAATGTGGAGCTTTCCGAAATCATGGGGGGTACCCCCAGTGATCATCCAAGTCGTAAAAGACCGTGACTTAGTATAGGTTAACCATGGTGATGACTGGGGATCCCCCATGACTTAAGAAACCCATATTGGCATGAAACTGAACTTTGATTGGGATTTCTCATTTCCAAACCGTTTGAATACTTGCAAGAATCATCGAAAAAAAAACATGGAAAAAACATGCCCAGTTTTCACAAAGAAAGGAAAGTCAGGAAAGTCCTAACATTTCCATACATTTCCCCAAAATAGATGGTTTATCCCATTATTTATAGGGTTTCAACCATCCAAGGTGTTGGAAAGGCCTTGTTATCTGACAGGAGCGCTTCTTCGCCTCCTTGGCTCGCGCGTCCGTGGCGCGCTGCGAACGCTTTGCGGTGGAGGAAAGTGACGGACTCTGTCTGGCAAGACTTGAAAGACAACGACAAAGCCAAAAATCAAGTATTCCTTGTTTTTGTTACCAATGCCTAAATGTGAGTGCATAGAGTGGCATTTGAACCGCTCGACAATTTTCAGCTAACTTCAAACATCTACAGCATCTTCAAGCATCTTCAACTCCTTTTTTTTGCTCAAAGAGCATGTTTCTGGTACCTAATTCCATAGCGTTTCTTGGCAGAACACTTTTAATGCAAGACATGACTTACCGGTTGCCCTGGGCCTGGAAGTCATGTTAAGAGTGGGAGTTTTTTTGTCCCCAAGTTTTCCTTTTTTTTTAAGGACTTACTTGGGGCTGCATTTAAGGTTATTCTAAATGGGTACGTGATAATGATTATAGGGGTTATAACATGTTAAATCCCAACTTGAGGTTAAAATCCCAGATTTACCCATGAAAGTCACCTCAACTGCATCTGTAAGTATGCTTTGTCTACCATTGTATCCCATATTAATCCCCCCATGAGAATCCCATATATGATGTACCTAAGACACCTTTGGATACCTTTGGTTTCGGGACGTATGTTCCACGTTCGGTCGACGGGTCCGAACGGTTTCAGGAGATGCTACTCTTGTGTTCGGCCTTCGACAAGGCGATCGCGGCAGATGTTGGATGAGGGTTAATAACCCAATAGATTATGACTAGTGATTAATAATGATCATAACTAATAATAATAAGAATAGTATATAACGATAACTGGTTAATTATATTAATTAATAACCCTCATAATTATAATAATTTAATCATTATTAATTAATAACTGGTTATTAAACATGAGTATAATTATCATGGTTAATGACAATGAGGGTTAATAACCTAATAGCAACTCAATGATTATGACTAATGATTAATAACTGGTTAGTGAAACAAGCATTAGACTTTTATATGGGAGATTGAACCACTTGAAATGGTGGGACTATATATATATGGGGCTTTTTTTGGACTTGGAAAAGGGGTTTTTGATGCGGAATATCATGGGATATATATATATACCCTCTGGTTATGACTAACATAGCCATGGTATAGATGGCCCATAGAAATAGATGTTTTTCCCAGCTAGAAACCTCCATTTATCAGGGATTTTCCATGGCTATGTTAGTCATAACCAGATGGTAATCAAAGATGGCAGGCTGGGAAATCAGCGAAAAATTATGGCTTCAATGGGAAATGATCACACATTCTTTCCATACAGGGAGATTTTCCGGCCAGCTACAGCTATGTTTGATTGCGGGAGGGTAAACGTGGCAAGAACACTGTGTCTTTCTTTGGCTTCAAAATTCTGGACATGTTGACCATGTATATCACTTATTTCCATGACTTCCCCAATGGTTTCCACATTGATGGGTGAAAACAAGTTCCAATCGCTACCCTGATGGATCGCAACTTCAGAACGTCGATGGCTTTCATGGGCTCTCGATGTGTTTCTGAGGCTGGCTTGGTGCATGTCCCCTTGCTGGAAGCATCTGCAAAGCTGCTTAGACATCAGGTCTCGCAGGCCGGGCAACTTCAAAGACATGGGTATGGGTCAACATGAATTCGACTCGACCCACCAACCCACAAGGCGAAAATGGATGGAACTTATACTTTTCCATTTTTGGGGGGGATCCTAACCCTCAATTTCTGAGGATTCCTGTGGTTTTTCCATGGTTTTTTGCCATGGGTTTTATCGCGAGCAACGGCAGGTCCCTGGTGCTGACCTTGCCAAAGGTTTGAAGAGTTTGGCCACCTGCTGTGCGACTTGATGGAAGAGGGGTAATCATCCCCATCCCTTCCTCATCCCTCCAACTTTCTGCTCCTGTTTCCCTTGGGGATGGAGATTGTGGGAGCGGAGACCGATCTTTTTGTTGGTGAGCCGCTCAGGCTTGGAATCCCACATTCTTGCTGGTAAAACCTCAGTTTTTTGGTCGTAGAGTCCGAAATCTTTTCATGATACTTTCTGGCAACGAAACAAGGCCACTGAAAAAAATCTCCATTTGTAATTAAATGGGTTTTTTTGATGTTTTTTCATTAAGGCCCGATTGCTGCCGAAGAGGCTTTTCAAGAATTGCCACGCTTGACGAAAGGGAAAGCAAGTGGGTCAAAGCCCCAGGTGAGAGATTTGGACCTCGGCAAGGCTGTGGGTGAATACCTGGCGGAAGGCCCCAAGGCCGGGAAGCTGCCCCAGGGCAATTTTTTGGGGCTGCTAGGGGCACCCAAAAGGCCCAAAAGATAGAAACATGTTAAATGTATCATATGATTTTACCTTTCAACGGACAATTTTTTAATCAGAGATGTTTCTTAGCAGCTTTTCGACACATACGGGAGTATTTCACCATCATTGGGGAGCAAACTGGCTACACAATCTGTGGTTTCCAGGTCTCAAAATTTGACCCATCACCAACATGGTCTCAGTCTACCCTCTGGTAAACTAACATAACTATGGAAAATCACCATTTTTCATGGGAAAATCCACTATAAATGGTCATTTTCAATAGCTATGTTAAATTACCAGAGGGTAATCCCATCTTTTGCTTGCTGAAGAAGACAATTCTTGGGTCGTGCATCAAGTTTGGGACAAAGCCACAACAGTTGATGAAAAGCGATGGATCTCCCGGCCATAGCAGAGAAGCCTCCGATTTTCTCCTAATAAAGCCTTCCGCCAGTTCGCGAACCAGCTACAACCATTGAAATCCATTGTTATCCCCACTTGAATCATGCCAAAACATAAAAGGACGCTTGTTACAACTGAGACAACTATCACAAGTGAAAAAAGACGGGGACAAGTGTGGGAGAGTACGCATAAAATGGTTGTGCCATAATTATGCATGACCTGGGACAACCAACATTATATTATATTATATTAGTCTATTATATTTTATATTATATTATATTATATTATATCATACTATATATTATATATTATATAGAATAATCTTATATATAATATGTTATATTATTATATATTATATATTATATTTTGTTTTATATTTTATATTACATATTCTATCATGTTTTATATTTTGCATTAGATATTATATATTATATGTTATATACTCTATTATTCATTATATTATTCATTATATTGTATTATATTATACTATATTATATAGTATATTATATATTAGATATTATTATTATGATGATGATGATGTATTATTATGATATATTATTATTGTATATCATTATTATGTATTATTATTATTTTGTATTATTTTGTATTATTTTGTATTATTATTATTATATATTATTATTATTATATATTATTATTGTTATTATTATTTTTATATATTATTATCATTATTATTATTATCATTATTACTATATATTATCATTATTACTATATATTATCATTATTACTATATATTATCATTATTACTATATGTTATTGTTATGTATTATTATTTCTATTATTATTATTGTTATATATATAATCCCAGGTACCTTGCTGCTTGTTTTGGAGGGGGGACCTACGAAAAAAAATATTTCAGTAATTTATGTATATATATATATATTTATATTTTTTAAATATATTTATATTATATTATATTATATTATAATATATTATATTCTAACATATATTTAGAAAATATAATAATATTTTCTGGGATAATCATCCGATTTGATGGGGCTTAATGGGGCTTATTTGATGTTGTGCGCCTGTCCGGCGCCCGCTGCAGGTTCCAGGGGATAGTGAACCTTGAAACATTTGGACATGCATTGACCCGGACACCACAAAACATCACAAAACTCCTACTTGGACATCATTGGACATCAAGAGGACCAACTTGGAATATGTTTTATTTTAATCTACTTTACATATGGCAAGTTGAGCCCTAAGATAGATCAATCAATATATGTATATATATATATATATATCGCTGAATCAAAAGGAACCAATGACATGCAAAAGCCTGGAGAGCAGCCATGAGCAGCCATGGGCTGGCTGGTGACGAAGAAGTGTAGCTGGAGCAGCACTCGCGTGGACTGCGGTTTGTGCTGCATTCAGCGCAAAGAGAGCAAGATCAGAGATTCTTTTCATGTCTTCATGTCTTCATGTCATTCTAATTCATTCTATGCTTGGAAGATTTTCCCAGAGATGTCCAAAATGTGCAGCCTCAGATGATCATGATGCATGGTTGCTGTCAGTCAGAGCACTGCCTCACAACCAGAATCCCGACACTATCAAAGCCCCTGCCGCTGAGACTACTGGCTTCATCCCACGCATAAGAAGACCTCAGATTCGTGGGCATCTGCGAACAAGGTGGCGAAGAACTTGGGCCTGCCATTGCCGCCTTCTCGCGCTGATGTTGCATCTTGGATCACATGGTTTTCCACTTGAGCAGACGTGAGCAGGTAGGTCCAAACGTAAGCATTTTTTAGTTCATTGAAAATATGACAGGATGGGATCATAGGGCTACGTTAGAAGTACACGGTAGAGGTACGGTAGAGGTACGGTAGAGGTACGGTAGAGTACCGTACCTCTACCGTACCTCTACCGTACCTTTACCGTACCTCTACCAGCACCTGCATCGTAGCTCTACAGTATACCCCTACAATATGCAGCATTATCAAGCATTATGAAGCAATGCTATGGGCCAAAGGGCTTGAAGTGTGGCGTTTGCAGTTCAGAAGTTGTGGCAGATATGGCAGGTACCCAAATCTATCCATAAATCAATCTAAAATATTATCAATCTACCCATATCCAAGCACTTGCTGGAGTCATATCGAATGACTGCTTCCGAAAAGAGTCTCCTGGCTTCACGGCTTCACCCCCAACTGCGGCGCAGGATGGAAGTGGAGTTTTGGAACCTCCAGAGTCCTTTGCTGAGGGACTCTTCATGCTGCAGTGACAAGATGTGATTAGATTGCGAATCGTTTTTGTCGCCGAACTTCTGAGTGTCTTCTGAGTGACAAGATGCTGCTGCTACTACTACTACCACCACCACCACCACGACTACTAAGTAGTAATAGTAGTACTAGTAGTAGCAATAGTAGCAGTAGCACATAATAGTAGTAGCAGTAGTAGTAGTAATAGTCGAAGTAGCAGTACTAGTAGTAGCAATAGTAGCAGTAGCACATAATAGTAGTAGTAGTAGTAGTACTACTACTACTAGTAGTAGTAGTAGTACTCATGCAAGTACTAACTACTACTGCTGCTACTACTACTGCTACTACTACAGCTCGTACTGCTTTTTTGCGTTCTGCTACGGGTAGTACCTCTTTAAATTCGGTCACAGGAAGAAGTATGTTTATTTCTGTACCGTTTTGTTTTTGCATGCACCTGCGTGCAATCCCACCAACCTGCAGCTTTGCGCATTTGACAGGTGGCTAGTGGTGCAATGGCGGACCCCGCTATGATCTCATCGGACGTTGCCTGGTTGCAGATTGTGGATGGCGACATCGCCCATGGAAGACACATGTGAACGCAGTGAAACACCAGGCAAGATGACCAGGTTTTCGACTTGCATTCTTATGTGTAGTATTCGCATTTCTTCCCAGCCCTCAACATAATTCAACATATGTGTACTTGCATTTTGTGAGCACTGAGGCTTCAATGCTGGAAGACATGGCCCTCATGGCACCAGTGGACTCCCAGGCAAGGCTCCGTTCGCCAGTGCTCAACGAAAGGTAGAGTTGGGTGAAGGGAGGTGAGATACAGCAGCCATTTTTTCAGCGGGTTGGCAAGGCTGCTTCCGTATGTAAGCCTTTAGTAAACTGACAACAGAGTCCACGGCCGTACATGGCCGTACGACAGCTGAAGTGCCATACAGAAGAAAGGTTTGGAACGCTCCCAGCAAGAAATAGGCAACACCATATTCCACTACCGGAATGGAAGCCCCAAAACTGAAACCCAGACAGTCACCATGGCACAAGAACCACAAGGAGCACAAAACATCACAAAACTAGCATCATGGCCCCACCATGATTTGAACCCTGGTTGTTTTACCATGATTTACCCCTCCCCCCCCACAATGTGACTTTGGGAAAGGATGGGAAGGGGATGGAGTTCCCCGCGCTTATGGGTGCCGTCCGTAAGAACGGGTAATTGTTTGGTAGAGCGGGTGGAGCCAATTTTAAAGGGAAATCTATACATACGGCTGCCCTACCCGCGGCAGTGAACGCTTACCCGCGCTTATGGGTGCCGTCCATAAGAGCGGGTAATCCTGGCGTATGTTAGTGTACTTTAGTTGGTATACAGTTGGATGGACAGATCTGGCACCCCAAAAGTATACCAACTAAAGTACACTAACATACGCCAGGATTACCCGCTCTTATGGACGGCACCCATAAGCGCGGGTAAGCGTTCACTGCCGCGGGTAGGGCAGCCGTATGTATAGATTTCCCTTTAAAATTGGCTCCACCCGCTCTACCAAACAATTACCCGTTCTTACGGACGGCACCCATAAGCGCGGGGAACTCCATCCCCTTCCCATCCTTTCCCAAAGTCACATTGTGGGGGGGGAGGGGTAAATCATGGTAAAACAACCAGGGTTCAAATCATGGTGGGGCCATGATGCTAGTTTTGTGATGTTTTGTGCTCCTTGTGGTTCTTGTGCCATGGTGACTGTCTGGGTTTCAGTTTTGGGGCTTCCATTCCGGTAGTGGAATATGGTGTTGCCTATTTCTTGCTGGGAGCGTTCCAAACCTTTCTCTGTATGGCACTTCAGCTGTCGTACGGCCATGTACGGCTGTGGACTGTGTTGTCAGTTTACTAAAGGCTTACATAATACGGACGCAGCCTTGCCAACCCGCTGAAAAAATGGCTGCTGTGTCTCACCTCCCTTCACTCAACTCTACCTTTCGTTCATCCCTGGTTGCCCTCAAGTTTCCTGGGGTCTTTGGTCACGCTAAGGTGCAACATCACACGTGAGGATTCCAACAGTGTGGGTACATGTGATCACACAATAAATCACAATATCACATTGGTTGGCCAGCCTTGGAAACGTTAAACGCCGCCAGCAGCCATCCAGGTGGATGCGTCTGAGTACCGGGCCTTTGCAGAGCATGTGCACGTGATGGATGTGAATGGTCCTCCAGCTGAGGGCTACTATAAGTGGCTGAAGGAACTCGTTCTTGATCAGGCCAATTCCTCCGAAGCTGAAGTCATTCGCCTGGACCAAGTGACTTGTGACCTTTCTCCTGGTGACGGACGGTGGCGTTGGGTCA